CAAGCGAAGCACGTGCGGCGCACAGTGTGTCTCTAGGCAGGAGGTTGGCTGGCACAGAACAGAGTGGAAATTTTATCTTTCGATGTTCAAAGCCGCTGTTACATGGAAGAACTACATCACAGGGGACAGAACATGGATGAAGATGGGGTTATCCTCCCCACAGCACAGCTGGACCAAGACACGGAGGTTTGCTAAGGAAGCGTGCCCAGAACAGGGGTGGAGGTGAGATTTTCCAAAACAGGACGTGGACTGAATGAGCATTATGGAGAGTGGCTCACTGGGTACCATATTCAGGGACTCGTCGGGTTGGACACAAATCCTCAGGAAAGACCGATGAAAGTGTCCAAGGCCAGTGGCGAACTGTGGACGTGGAAGGAGCTGCACCTGGGCAGTGATGGCGCGAAGGGGACTCTCCAGGCACACGGGTGCAGGAGGAGTGTCGCCCCAGTAGCCTTGGAGCCGGTCCCCTGTTCACTAACGTAGGAGGAAATGTCTGCACCTGTCGTGGCGTAAGGAACACCCGAGACCTGAAGGCCATCCGCTGTCAGAGCGGCAGGAACTTTGGGAGACCACTCAACCCCACCATCCTAGCCCCACTTTACAGACGAGGAAACTGAGGCCCAAGGAGGGAGCCCTGCTGGCCCAAGGGCACACTGGGAGTTTCTCTGACATCTGAGCCAGGGCCCTTTCTCATGGGGAACAACCTCCTCCTCCCTCTGCCGGAAACGGGCTGGTCACCACCACAGGGCGTTCTCGGAGAAGGCTGCCTCTCGAACCACGAACCACGCAGCGAGCCCCGAGCAAAGGGCGAAGGTGATGACCACTTTCCTCACTGTGGTAAGGAGAAGCCAAGGCGCCTGTGTTCTTCCCACCACTGGGGAAACACAGGAGCGTTTCAGCACCTTCCCCAACAGAGAAGCAAAACCAGCCACTGGAGAAGAGGGCACATTCCCACAGCAGATGTGACCAGAGCTCCTGAGTCCTGGCCCCTCCGTCCTCGGTCACCCCGCAGTACACGCATCGTCGCAAATGGGGCATAACTGAGCCAAAACATACTCATCTCCTCCGCCGGGAGCAGCGCAAGCTGCAGGCGGGACCGTCACCAGTTGTCACAGGGAGAGGGATCACAGGGTGACCTGCCCGCGGTGCTGTCGCTGTGGGGGAACAGCAGTGGCAGTACGGTGTCCTTTGGTGACATGGATCAGCTCACCTGCAGGATAACGGGGCAGCGTCCCTGTCCCATTGGAGGTGACCGCGTCTCTGGTTTGTCTTCAAGTGCGTGCACCTCGTCCCTCTGCACAGAACGAGCAGAACTCCAGACAAAGGACCCCCACAGAGCCAAGGGGCCACGTCCCGCTGCGCCCAGCTCACGGGTGGACAGGCCTCGGGCTTCCCGGGCTCAGAGGTCCGTCTCTCCTGGTCTGAAACTCCGCCCGCTGGCCCGGCTGAGACGCAAGGGGCCGTGCATCTCCGGGGACAAGTCACCCCGCACTCCGCTCGCCACCCCCACAGCGCACCCGAGGAGGCCCCCAAGGGCCCAGGAACTCCGCAAACGTCCCGGCGGACGAGGGGTGACAGGGCAGCTGGCCTGGATGGGACACTCAGGACCAGCCCATTGCGGTGGCGTCGTTGGTGGTGGTGGTGGTGGTGGGGCGGGGGGGGGGGGGGGTGCCGCCCCCTGCGGCGCATGCGCACATCGAGGCCCGGTCTTGTGCACACGCTCTCCATGGGCCGTGTGCGCGCCCAACCGTGAGCGCAAGACCCCACTGCCCCACGCGGGGTCGATGCTGTCCGCTAGGGAAGCTCGTGCGCCCCCTCCACCCACCGCGGGGGGAGCCCTGGCGTGTCCACGCTCAGCTGGGCTGGGCTGGTCCACATGCAGCCCTCATGGGACAGTTGGGAAACTGAGGCAGGGACTGCCCCCTCCAGGCCTGCCTCGGCCAGGTCTCAAGCCTCCCCTGGGATTTGCCCTGGGGATGAGAACCCCTGAGATCCTAGGGGCCCCTGCTTCCCCGCCTCTCCCCAGTCCTTCCCCCCCCCCCCCACTTCCTCTGGTTCCGCCAGGCCCGCGGCCCAGCTACAGACAGAACTCTCCATGGAGAGCCGGACAGGGTCCCTCACATTAGCATTGTGCCCTCTTCTCCTTCCAAGCTCACAGGACAAGGGTACGAACCGTGTAACCGTGCAAGGGACACCTTTCGCATGTCGCTTTGGGGGCACTGAATTTAGTTTTGAGCAGGAACCTCAACTTTTCGTGTGTGTCCACAGCAGGTGCTACCAAGAGGGCCGAAGACCCGGTGACCACAGTGAGGACAGTGGAGACTGTCGCCCTCACTCAGCCCCAGCGGGCGCCCCTGGGAAGCCAGCTCGGCCACCAGGGCTCCTGATTCTCAGAAAGAAATCAGAAATCCTGAGTGTCATGTGAAATTGCCCAATTTCAAAACCGCTCCACGGGCAAAAAAGCAGTTGTAGGTGAGATTGGGCCCACAGGTTCACAAGGGTCCTGTGTGGGGAGCCCACGTCCCGTAATGGTATCAGGGCTGTCTTGTTCCCGGCTCAGGGCATCCACGGCCAAGTCTGGGGACGTCCCCATGAGGGACCTGGCCCTTCTCGCTGACCGTGGGACACGGAGAGAGACACAGTAGTAGGTATTTTCAGATTTGCAGACATTTGAACTGTAGCTTTCTTAAATCTTGGCTGTAGAACAAACTTACATTTTACATGCACATTTTTTTTAAAAATACGTTTTTATTGATTTTTTTTAGAGAGAGAGAGGAAGGGAGAGATAGAAACATCGATGTGAGAGAGAAACATCAATTGGCTGCCTCCAGCACGCCCCCTACTGGGGATGGAGCCCACAACCCCAGGCATGTGCCCTGACCAGAATCGAACTGGGACCTCTCAGTCCATGGGATGACACTCAATCCACTGAGTCACACTGGCCAGGCCCTTTGTACTCTTAATGGTGTCGTGTTATTGGTGAACAGCAGTTCTTAATTTAAAAAGACGCAGCTTACCAGTTTTTCTACATTATTAGACTACTCTGTGTCCGAAGGGGTCTTTCCCTTCTCCGAGGTCAGGACGTTCCCGTGTTATCTGCCGGAAATGTCATGGCCCTCAGCTTCCGCGTGGAGATCCAAAGCCCACCTGGGACTGATTCTTGCTGTGGCCTGAGGTGCAGTGAGTTTACTCCCGTGGGCACAGGTGGGCCCTGGGCCACCGCTGAGAAGCCTCGTGCCCTCGCTCTGTCCGCCTCTTAGTATAAAATGTGCCAAGCTGGGCAGGTGTGAGCGTCCTCTGGTGCTCGGGGTGAGGCTGAGCTGCTAAAAACGCTACTCCCCTCCCACCAGGGTGGGACCCTGGGCCCCCCTGTGCTGTGCGGGGCGCCCTCGGCGGGCAGGAGCAAACCCAGGGACTCCCCCAGGCTCGAGCCATGTCCCTGGCTTCCTGCCTCCTGCTCTGACCAAGAACCCTCCCGGGGACTGAGACGAGGCAGGGGGATGTCTGTGAATGCTGAGCCCCTGGGTGTGACCGGGCCAGGTGACACTGCCACGCTCTCCAGGAACTGTTCAGAAAGCTGGTGCCCACCACTGCCTGAGCGTCTGACCCCAGCGGGACAAGACTGAGGAGCACCGGGCTCCCACCGTCAGGCCACCGTCACCCAGCTCAACAGTGTGGCCAGCTGCTTGGAGGACTGGAGCGTGGTGGCCGGGGACAGGGCCAGAGAAATGGGTCACAGGACCCCAGTGGCCAAGGTGTGCCACAGGAGGGCCCGGGGTTCCTCTGCAGAGTTCTAGAAACATCTCTTTTTTGGGGAATTAGGTCTCCAGCTTCCTGGCTGGTCCCTCGGGCTAGAACTCAGCTTCCTCCAGGCTGGTGGGTGGAAAGGAGGGGGAGCCCTTCCTTCCCCAAACTAGCCAGCCTGTGCCCCCGAAATCAGGCCCCTGTGACTCCTGCAGTCTGCACTGCACTTCTAGGGGAGGGCACTCACCTGCCCAGAGATTGGGCACTGCAGGGGACGCCCAGGGCCAGGTGGCCAGTGTGGCTGCCCAGACCTCGGCTCAAATGGCCAGACCCAGGAGGCAGGTGGGTGCACCGTGGGACCCCCACTCTGCCCCCAGGACAGACACTGCTGTCACAGGGTCCTGTCGGATGCTCTTGGGTGCCTTGTTAGCAGTAACTTACAGGAGCTGCAGCCAGATCCAGGGGTCGCCCCCTTCTGCCCAAGGAGCAATAACCCCCTGTAGTGGGAAGTGTCTATGGTGGGTCCTGCCCCAGTGGACCCCAGAAGCTTCCAATTAAAAGAGGAAGCCAAGTGTGGCGCCCTGCGCCCCCCCGCAGCCCCTACCCCATCAGTCAGAGGTGGCACCTAGGAGACCCCTCCTGAGGGGTGAAGCAGAGTTCCCTGTGGGGTGTCCTGGGGGGCGAGGTGCAGCCTTTGGCGGGGCCTCAGGCCCAGCACGGGGGTGCAGAGACTCGGGGGACTGGGGCAGGCGGGAGCAGCTCAAGACGTTTGTGCAGCGAACACAGCAGTGGCCCCAGCTCAGGGCGCATCACGGGGCGGGGGACAGTGAGCAGGCGGACATCGTGGCGCGCTGGCACTGCGCTGAGTGCTCGGCACAGGCTGCTGGCCCCGGCCCGCAACCCACGGGAGGCATGTCCCACCAGAATCCCCGCTTTGCAGGGTCCCATCCTCCAGGAGGAGGACGCGGGGCTGCGCAGGGCTCGCCCGCCACGGACCGAGCCGCGGGCGCGAGCAGCAGATTGAAGTCCCGGGCGGCTGGGCGGAGAAGGGAGGGCCCACTAGAGGGCGCTGCGGCGGCGGCGGCCTGGGCCGGGCGCGGTTTGGCCCTCGCGCGCCGCCGTACGCGGTATAAAAGGCGCGGCTCGTGCTCGCGCGTCCTTTCCGGGCGGCGGCGGCGGCGTGCATGGGGCCTGTGCGCGGTGTGCGGGTTCGCGGCCCCGGCGGCCCGGGCCTCGCCGGGCGGGCGGGAGGAGGCGGGAGCGGGGCGGGAGCCGTCGCCCCAGAGGTCCCCGCGGCTCCTCGAGGATGTGACGTTCCTCGGCGCGCTGGGTCACCTGCTCCTGTTTGGCAGGTGCGATTGCCGAGAGGCCGTGGGTGTGGCCGCTCGGGGTGTCCGGCGGGGCCCAGGCCGAGCGCCCCGGGTCCTGCGTCCGGTTCCGCTGCGGCCTGACCTTCCTTCTGCCCACTCGAGCTGAGCGGGGCTAACGGGGCACACTGCCCGCTGGGAGCTCGGGGCCTGGGGGCAGGGCAGCGAATGCAGCGGAGCCCAAGGGTGGAAGGGAGGGGGAGAGACAGACGTCATCCCCGGGCGCCCCTTGCACGCCCCGGCCCCCATCAGGCGTGGAGCCGGCCGCCTGGTGGTCCACGGGGCCGGTCGTGAACTTGGCTTTCTCTTTGGGGAGCTTGCCTGCTGGGAACGGCTGCAAGGGTGCTTGGGGTGCCCGAGAGTGTCCCTTGCAAGCGCAGCCCGTTCTGGGCGACGTGCTCCGTGACTGGAGGGGTGGGGGGGCCCTCTGTGCACACTGCACCCAGAGGCGTTGCAGGTGTGGCTGCTGTGCCCATTTGCGTCATGAGGTGGCAGAGAGCAGAGAGGCTGGTGTTCGCTCAGCGTTCTGGCCGTGAACGTCTGAAGACTGACGGCCTGACACTGGGCGCGGGTGCGGGGAGGCTGGTTTGCGCTGGCAGCCTGAACCCCCAGCTCAAAGCTCCTGCTTCTTCCCCAGCTCTTGGCGGCCCTCCGGTCCCCAGGTTGTCATGCGCCTGGCAGCGGGAGGTAGGAGCCGGTTGCTGGCACAGGGATGAGTGGAAAAGGCGGGTAAGTTTTGGGCTGACCTGGGGAAGATCTGAGCGTTCCTAACGGTCGTGGGGATTGTTTAAAAGTGGCCGAGATTGTCCTTTCCCAGCGTGAGCGGAATGTCCTGGCTCTGAGCAATCCGAGAACTCGAATTCTTTGAGCTGTAAATGTTACAAAATATTCATGGGTGGCTACTCTGCCTCTTAAACCTTTGGACTCAGATACACCAGAAATCTTGTAGGATTTAAACGTTGGAGACGGTGCCACCACCCTCCCCGCTGGCCTGGGGACTTCTGACGTGCTGGGACCTCACTAGGAGCTCCCTGGGAGAGAGGGTGCAGAGACCTCTTAAGGAGGGCCCTCCTGGTTGCGTGGCGATCCCCCAAGTTCTCAAACCCTGAGCCACTGCCAAGGGCTCAGTCTCCACTTTGGGCTGCCCACTGGTCAGAGAGGTGGCTGGGGGGTGCAGTGGCTGCCCTGAAGGTGCTGGACCTGCCGGCACCGCGGACGCAGCTGCTGTGCTGCGCCTGTGGCATCGGGGCAAAGAGGAAGCGGCTATTTCTACGCTCAGTGCTCAGAACAGTGGGCACTAAGAATGGTTTGTGGCCTGACATCCCTCCGCTCCCGGCCGGCTGGCGTTGGTTCCCTTGTGCCCACGCACTCAGACCCGGGCCTGGGCTGCAGTTGAGAACCCAGGCGAGGTCCTGGCTTTTCTCCCTCCTCTGAGGAGGCTGTTCTGGGACTGAGTGAGGGGAGGGTGTGTGGGTGCACATGGTAAACTGGGCGCAGTGGGGTTGGCCTGGGTGGGTGTGCCGTGCAGCCCTGGCTAAGCCACTAGCTGGCATGGAGGCCCTGGGTGGGTGGTCGGGAGCCACGTTGCACGTGGACACTGCCATGTGAAGGAGCAGGAGGGGTTTGGTCAGTTCAGGGGGAGGTGCCAGAGGTTCGCTCCCGGCATTTGCCTGTCGATGAGTCGAAGCCGGGGCCCCCGTGGGCCCCCTCATTGGGCCGTCTGACTCTGCAAATGGTCGTTCCAGCCAAGGGAGTGAGGGCTGCTCTTGGCAACCCCCCTGGGGTGACAGGCGTGACCCAGCTGTCCTCGTCCCCTCAGGTGGAGAGCTCAGTGCTGTCACAGCCAGTCAGGATTAGATCAGTGGTTCTCTACAGGGACAGCTTGTGTGACCCTCCCAGGACATGGTGGGGGCCACTGTCTGAGGGTCTCAAATGGGTGGGTGCTGCTGGCATCTAGTGGGCAGGGGCCAGGGTTGGTACAGTGCACAGCAGGACCCCAGATGTCGATAGTGCTGAGGTTGACCTGCCCTGCTGTGGAATCCCATCGGAAGGCCTGGCCAGGGCTCACCCTCTTCCCTTTCTCAGACCGGAGGCCGAGGAGGGGCGTGGGCCTGGCCCGGTGCAGCCGCTCAGTGGGACGGACTGCAAGTGTGGCTCAGTCACCCAGGACTCCTTCAGGACAGGTAGGTTGGGGGTGCGGCTCGCTGGGGTCAGAACCTCTGCACGCTCACAGTGGACACTGGTTTGCCAGAATCGGGCTGGGGGCCCAGTGTGGATTATCCTCACTTGGGGGAGGAGTCAGCTCATCATCTGATTGGAGCTGGCTGGCCTTTGACTTGGGAAAGGGTCTGCCCTTCAGCCCTGCCACCTAAGGGAGGGGTGCTGTGTGCCCCCAGTGATGCCCGCGGTGCTCGTCCTCTGCCGCTTTCTCACCCACACTGGGCACAGCAGCTTCTTCCGAGTGCGGCTTGGCAGTGTCTTCCCCAGGCTAAGAGTGACCTTACGCGTGGGGGGGACCCTGTGATCCCAGCACTTCTGCTCCAGGTCTTGTGGGTGTGCCCTCGGGGGTTAGTTTGTTAGCCGATGGTGAGAGCCCCCCTAGACCTCGGGAAGCAGGGTGGGTGGCTGGCTGCTGGCCTGGGCCACCGTGCCCGTGTGACGGTGCGCTGGCTCTTGGTTGCTGCGTCACAAGTTGCCTGGAAGCAGCCACGTTCATACCTCACTTTCTGAGCTCGGGAGCGGCCTGGCTGGGTTTCTCCTGGGACTGGTGTCGGGTTGGCAGGAGAAGCCGCTTCTAAGATGGCACAGTCTGGCTGCCGCCGGCTTCCCGGGGAGCCAGCGGGGCTGGGCAGGGCCTGGCAGGGCAGAGTTGTACCCTCCTTCACCTCTGTGCCCTTGGCCCAGGTGTGGGGAGGGAGCAGCTTCGTTGTGAGAACCGACACCTGGACCTTGTGGCTCTTGCTGCTACTGAGCAGCCATCGGGTTTTGCCTGCCTGTCCTTGGCACTGGCGCTTGGTTTTGCGCGACTTGTCTACAGGGTGACATGGCATGGCCGGAAGTGAGTGGGCCTGGCTGTCAGGAGTGTGGGGTGGCTCGGCTGGCAGTTGTGGGGTGCAGAGGGGCCTGTCCTGGTTGGTAGTGGGGCGTGACGTTGCCTCAGGCCTGAGGGCTTCTCTCCTTGGCGCTTTGAACTTTCACTGGCTGTTACTTTCGACACGAATTCACCAGAAGTCGAATTACACCAGAAGTCGGGTGGCGAGTGGAGGGTTGAGAAGAGGGGGCTGGGGTTGGCCATCTGGGGAGAAGGCGGCAGTGGGTTGAGGGGGCTTCCGCAGCCGTGTCTGTGTCCAGAAACCATCTCTGCTCTACCCTCCTGAGGGCAGGAGGTTTGCCGAGGCGAGAAGGTTGTGGTCCAGCACGGTGACACGCTGGGAGGCAGGGGTCACCTCTGGTCTTCTGTCTGCAGGTGGGGGCCCTGCTGGACCGGCCCAGGCGCCGTCCTCAGTTCTGGAGCTTCTGGAAGTGAGCGGAGAGCCTGGGAGGGGCTGCCTGACGCCCCACAGCCTGCAGGGCAGCAGCTGCGGCAGCCCCGGGCCCTCGGTGCGGAGGGTCTGCGGGAGCCTTCCGACGGAACCAGCACATCATCGCAAGGGGTGCGGGGTAGCCCTGCAGTTGTGTGGGGGGTGTATACACGATTCTTACAATAAAGTAATCCATGTTTATTTACAATGTGATGATTCGTGCACTGATACCAACTACAGCGTACGCTAGAGAAGGAAAGTTGCGAGACTGCATCTAGTGCAGTTGATTTATTCTGTCTGCTGCACCGCTCACCTCGGGCCTGTCCATGCCCGTTGAGTTATGGTGACAGGTGTTTCTCACCACACATGAAGACCACACACCAGACAAATGTGTTCACTGTGAGTCAGCCTCACAGGTCCTGTGACCCCCATCCAGAGTATTTGAGTGGCTGAGGGCATCCTGCCACATCAACAGCGTTGAGAGGTGGTCCCTCCCGGGCCAGGGCCTTGACTTCAGGGACAGAGCATAGATGGACTCAGTCCTAGAAGGTTCTCGGTGTCCGAGCCTCGTACAACCAGGACCGGCAGCTGGTGTGTCCGCCCTGAACTTTCAGGCAAACACCCCTTCTCCTGTGATCTCGAGGTGTCGGGAACTTACCTCCATGGTTTTCAGACCGTCCTTTGCATCCAGTCTGGCCTTAGCGGCTCGCCTGCTTTTTGCTTGGTCGCGTGCTGCTTGGCTTTCTGGCTCCCGGGCCTGTGGGTGCCTGGGCGCCACCCTGCATCACGGGAAATCTGCGAAGCTGCCTTCAGCTGCTGGCGAGCTGTGCGAGGGGCTCCGGGAGCTCCCTTTCCGGGCCTCACACTGGGCACACGGGGAGCATCCCAGCTGTGACGGCGCAGGCGCGCCTCCAGCATCGCTAGTGCCCCTGCGCGGTCCCCAGGCCCGCTTCCTGGACAGGGCGAGGACGCGGGCTGGGGGTGCACGTGCAAACGGAGTTAACACGCGACACATTCATGACAGAGCCTAAATTTTTATGATACCTCTACATTGTTCAGTTGTGAATTCTCTCAAACTGTGGCAGATAAAGATTTCCGGGAAATCTGAAAAAAAAAAAATCCACGTCTAAGTGGCCCACAGCTCACAGTCAAGCTGTGGCCTTGGTGAGCAGAGTCCGCTGTCCAGAGCCCATGACCCTGAACTGGAAATCTCGGTGGGAAAGTTGCTTTGATGAATACAGGGTGAGGTTTAAAGGTTAGTACTGAGCCCGGCCGGTGTGGCTCAGTGGTTGAGCACGGACCCTACACCAAGAGGTTGCTGGTTCGATTCCCGCTCAGGGCACACGCCCAGGTGGTGGGCCGGATCCCCAGTGGGGCCGTGCAGGAGGCGGCCCGTCGATGTTCTTGCTCATGTCTCTCTCCCTCTCACTTCCTCTCTCTAAAATCAATAAAGGAAAAAAGAATTTTAAGGTTAGTAGTAAGAATACGGTTATTAAAGTTGAAATTTTAGACCGTGTTTTATGCAAAGTAAATGGAAAGATTTAATGCCTTTTCCTTTGGGGAAAGTGTGTGTTAACACGGGACTCCGTTGGTCTTGAATAAACCACCTTGACGCAGTTTCCCGTGTGACAGGCTGAGTCTGGAACATGAAGTGTTCTCCCTAGGGGGACCCCTGGGGGAGGGGGTGTCGGGCCCCAGGGTGCACGGCTTCCCGCTGGGGAGGGGCAGGGGGGAAGCGCAGATGACGGGATTTACATCCAGTGGTTCGTTAGTGAAGAGTCCTGGGGGGCTGCGCTGTTGGGAGCAGGAGACGGCCCGGTGGCCGCTGACCGCTGACCGCTGCAGCCCTTCCTGCTGGTCCAGCTCCACCCGCCCCTCCGGCCCCGTCCACGTGGGCTGCTCCTCGGTGCTTCAGGAACCACAAAGGAAGGTCAGGTCCACACGCCATCACCCCACCCCCGCATCCTGGTGAACTACCTCAGCCGGGCTGCAGGAGGTGAGGGGCCGGGCAGGGCCCCGGGACCCGCCGAGGCCTCCAGCGCCCCAGGACAGGGCAGCCCCGCTTCCGTGCCTGGGCTGCGGGGGGTGGTCGCGCGGCGAGGGGCAGGGGTCCGGGGCAGGGTGGGGGCGCTCCAGTGAACTCACAGAAAAGCTATTTATTTACATCAGATATTCCTGAAAGTAACAAAACCCAACTGGGCCTGGGTGGGCCCCTTGGCCAGCCGTTGGTCAGGCTCAGGTCCTGCCCTCCCTCTTCCGGCTAAATGTCCGTCCATCTGGGCTGCTGGGCCCTGGGGAGGGGAGGGGTGTGGCGAAGGAACTGGGATCACAGGGACGCCTGAGCGGGAGCAGCCCGGGCCCAGCTCCTGCTGCCTGTCCTGTCCGGCCCAAGGCGAGGGCGGCGGCAGGACCCTGGTGAGCGGGGGGCAGGCCCCTGGAGACCCTGCACTGTCGCCGTCAGGAGTACTGGGTGTTGGAGATCTTCTTCCACAGCAGGGTCTTGAGGTGGCTGAGCACCAGCGCGTGGTGGGCCTCCACCTGGCTGGCCAGCCCGCTCAGCGTGGTGCAGGCGCGCAGCTGCCTGCTCAGCTCCTCGCGCAGGTCCGGCGGGGCGCCGGGCAGCAGGTAGGCCCGCAGCAGCTCGCACACCTTGGCCAGGTTGGGCTGGATGAGGTCGCCCTTGCACTGCCGCGTGAGCGGGTCGCAGGGCGCCCGGCAGTCGCGCCCGTAGGTGCAGTCCGAGCTGTGCTCGCAGCGGCGGCCCTGCAGGAAGCGGCGCACGGTGGCCTCGGGCGCCACCTGCTGCAGGTCGGCCATCCTGAAGTCGTACTGGGCCGTGTAGCCCACGTTGGCCAGCGTGGTCTCGCACATGTAGAAGGTCCCGTAGGCGCCGTGGAACAGCTCCTCCACGAACTCCAGCAGGCCGATGGCGATCTTGGCCCGCCAGGGCCACGCGGGGCCCAGCCACTGCTGCAGCGTGTGGTGCAGGGCGGGGGGCAGCAGCGGGCGCAGCAGGGGCGGGAGCGTGGCCCCCGGCCAGGAGCCGTGCGGGACGCCCTCGGTGATGTACAGGTCCCCGCAGAAGCCCAGCAGCCGGGAGGCGTGCTCCTTCTCCTGCAGGGACAGCAGCAGCAAGAACTCGTTCCGCTGCAGCAGGGCCCACACCGACTTGGCCTCGGCCAGCGACACCCTGCTGTCCCTGTTGAAGTCGGCCATAAGCAGGACCTGTCCAACCAGCGCGGGCAGGGAGGGCAGGTCTCCCAGGTTCGCCTGACGTTTGGGACCAAAAGAAAGGGGGACAGTGGTTTCAGAGTCAGCGCACGCCGAGGTGGCAGGATGCAAGCCGCGGTGTGGCCCTGCCAGGCCCTCGGGTGCCAGCTGGGTGGGCTGCATGCGGGACCCAGCGCGTCGGACAGCGTAGGAGGGCCCAGCCTCCAACTGCCACCTCCTGGAAGCCCACCCTGACTACCCACGCACCTGCATCTCTCCTGGAGCTGTTGCGAGGGACTGTGTCCCCATGTCTCCACCAGTGCCAGGGGACTGAGGTGGGCACCTCAGCACAGAGGTGAGAGCCTGCTGGGTAGGGCCAGTCGCTTCTCAGATGCTCTCACCCCACCTCCCGTGCACACACAGCTCCCTGCTCTCCCCTACGGATGCCCCGGGAGCAGGGTGCTGCCCCCTAGTGGGTAGTCCCTGAGCGAAGGTCTGTTTGGAGCTGGAGGGCGAGCCAGACGCCGGGCCAGCCCATATGGCCCCCACCCAGCCTGCCTCCTGCTCTGTGCACACATCCCTGGGGATGACCTGGAGAGCCAGCTGACCTTGAGAAAGCTGAGCGTCATCTCCCGGAACTCTTTAATCGAGGTGCCCCGCGTGGGCTTGTCGAACAGCACCAGCTCCCGCCGGGGGGCCACGTCCGGCCCGGCCTTGGGGTGCAGGCTCTCCTCAATGCCACACTTGATGGTCACCTCCTTGCCCTGCCAGAGCCCGCTGTACACCTGCATGGGCCACAGGGATCCTTGGGTAGGTCCCTCTCCCGCTGCAGACACGGAGGGAGGGTCTTGGGCACGGCCCTGGGCCTGACCCCGCCGAGCTCACCTGCTGGCCGGGGGCGGAGGACAGGCAGGTCCTCCACTCCACCTTGTGCGGCTGGCACAGGTCCTGGCAGAGGGAGCCCGAGATGATGCCCTTGCGGTACTGGTCACACTAGGAGAGGAGGAACACGCTGCAACTGGACTCCTGCCCTGGCCCCTCCGAGCCCGCCCCTCCCTTCACACTGCACCCCCGGGCAGCAGGCCGAGGCCGCAGCACTCAGAGGGCAGCCTCCAGCCACACGCCTGGCACCTGAAGCCCCCTGGTCCCAGAGTCAGCGTCTGCCCCGCCCACCATCCCCGCCGTCCTGCAAGGTGCCAAGCTCCTGAGTGCTCCTGTTCTCCCGTGCGGCCCCTGGGGGCTGATGCGGGGCCCATGACGGGCTCGCCGCTGTCCGGTGCCCAGCGCAGAGGCCAACAGCCCGCCGCGCCCTGGCCAGCTGGGTGATATGGGTGGGCTGCCGTGCCCTCCCCCTGCGAGGCAGGAGCTCCTCCAGCACCCATCAGGCTGTCTGTGCCTGCAGCCTGCTCCCCGGGTGTGCAGGGGAAGCTCTCCTGTCTCAGGAATCACTTCAGCCCCGAGCGGCCGCCGTCCCCGCGCAGGAACAAGGAGGCCGGGAGGTGGCTGAGTCAGCTCCTTCCCTCTGGAGCGAATTCCCCGCGCACACATTGCCATGGAGCCCAGGGCCTGGCCGGCCGGGCCCACAGGAAGGCGAGGCAGGGAGTGAGCGGAACACAGCACCCCCCACGCGGGACGGAGGGCGGGCCAGGGATGAAAACCAGCCTGGGCCGGGGCCTCGGCCGTGCGCACCATGAAGGAGGCCTCTGTGCGTGAAGATGGCAGCCGTTCAAGACAGAAAAGAACAGAAAACCACAGGCTCCTCTCCACCACCCGCAGGGAGGTCCTCCACCCCAGGGGTCTGCCCTGCCCCACAGCCTGGGGCCCGCCAGGGCGGGGCGGCCTGCACAGACGCTGAGGCTGGCGCTGTCCAGCGGTGTCCAGAGGTGCGGGGCTCTGCGGCCCATCAGCCTGGAGCCACCCATGTCACCTCCTTTCCTGTCTGCAAGCTGGGCCGTGGGGGGACTCAGGGAGCACCACCAGCCCAGCACCCA